CTTATAGTTATTTAATTATGCTCTATGGTTTTTTCGATTTTTACTTTTTTGTTTACTTAATTTTAGTGATGTATGGGGATTAGCTTACATGAATATATTTAATTTTGATTTAACGTTAAGGTGATCTTAATCCAAAGCTTATTAAATAAAATACAGTGTATATGTTATAAGTGGGAACGAAATTTAAGTAGATTTGAAATTTCTTAATAAAATTATAATTTTAGAGGGAGAATTTATTCTTTATAAACCTATACCCTAATCCTAAAATCCCACTTACAATATATATACGTACAGTATAAGAATTTAAGTTATTAAATTGTTTTTATTAAAGTTAATTATCAAATTGGCCAGTTTTAAAGAATAGAATAATAAACACAAAATATAAATATAGCCGTTAGAAATTTTGGAAATATGGTAAGTTATCAAAGATTTGGTAACTTATAATTTTACAACTCTAAGAAAAATTCTTCGCAGATTTTAATTTTTATCATATGGTTATATAATATGTACATATGAGGCCGTTGCAGTAGAAAGGGCCCAAACTCCCCGGAAATCAAAATTGAGTTTTTGTAAGATTCGAATAAATTTCGAGATAGGCTACATTTTTTGATTATGAAGGGAAATTGATTTGCTTAATAAAAAATTGAAATATACTGTATATAAAAAAATTTTAGAAGATTCGTACATCACGAGATTATCTGATATAGCTAACCAATCAAATCACGGAATTCTCAAAATTATATATACTGTATTACTGTATTACAGAAAGTTAAAAGTTTAATAATTGCTTGAAATTTTTTAAAAATTCAAAAATATTATGTACAGTGCGTATAAGAATTATTTAGATATTTAAATACAGTCAAACTTCTCTATAATCACACCTTGGTTTTAAGAATTTGGTCATTATAGAGTTTGTGTTTAAAATTTTATAAGTATTATATAGGGTCTTTGCTATTAAAATGACTTTCCAAAGCATCATTACATGAGATTTTAAGAAAACAGTAAATCTATTTTTAGAAAAAAATTTCATAGCAAAACCCTTGTTGGTTTTAAAAATTTATAATTACAGTCAAACCCCTCTATAATCACCTCTATAGTCACAAAATTGATATAATTACAAATTTATTTTTACCAATTATTTATAACTATATAGAAAATACCTCTATATTAGTCGCACCTCTTTACAATCACGGTTTTGAAGGTGTAACTATAGAGGGGTTTGACTATACAGTATAAGCAAACGTGACTATAGAGGAGGTGACTATAGAGAGGTCTGACTGTATGTTTTAAAATTCAATAAAGATTAGCAGTTAGAAGAATTTGAAATTGCTTTTAAATACAACAAATAGTTAAGATATTTGTTAAAAGTTATAGAATATACTTTATTAGATCAGATTAAAGGTTTGAGTAAAACAGTTTATACTAAAATTTTGCAGACAATCTTTTTTATTATAATTCCAAGAATACTGTAATTTTAAAAGTAAAATATTAGGCATTAGACCGTACAAAATTAATAGATTGGTTTTTATAACCTCAGGCCGGATCAAGTTTAAAAACTAGAAAAACAAATTTATATAGCGATTAAGATTTACAGCTATTTTCTTAATTCTATATACTGTATTAAGTTTGTGATTTCGGCATAATTAAAAAATACAAGCGTATGATATATATATACCAAGTGTTGTCAATTTTTTGTTTTATTGATAAAATTATACTCTATTCTAAATTCTATTGTTCTATTTGCTTTTTTGCAATATTAATTATCTAGTTGTCAATTTTTTGTTCTATTGATAAAAATTATATTCTATTCTAAATTCTATTGCTCCATTGTTCTATATTTATCTATTGCTAACAACACTAATATATATGGGTTGAGTCAATAGAAACCAAGCAAATATTTTTTAATAAGTTTTTTTAAAACTTTAAACAAGGATAACTTAACAAAAAATCAAGTTTAGTAAAAAATTTTTAAATTAATTCTACAAATTTATAAAAACTATTTAAAAAAATTTTTATTAAATATGGTTAAGTTCTTATTAAGTTATTCTTGTTTAAAGTTATAAAAAATTTTTATTATAAAAATTAGCTTATTGACTCACCCCCATATATATGCATAATAATACTGTAATATATCAATAGGTTATACTACCTGCAAAATAGTTAAGGTTAGGTTAATACTTTATGTTAGCATGTTGGATTAGTTCGAAAAATTGCAACCAATCAGATTGATTTCATTTGCAGCCAATAAAATAGAACTTTAATAATACTTCCATAATTATTTTGCACAATAGATCCCATGGCCGCTAATAAAGAAGACATAATTAACGCAAAGGTTGCTCTCGATAACAGATTGTTAGGCCTGCTTTTTCGGCAAAGCGCGGATCGTGGCCAAGATCGTTATAAAGAAGTAATACCCGAAGCTGTTCCCTTTAGGCAGGAAAATATCATTCCACTTCCACCGCGTTTGCGCGAAATTGTTGAAGGTATCCTTAATGCTTAATAGTAAACAAGCTTTGTAACCGTTGATACACGGTACACTTTCAATTTTGTAGTTAATAACTGTTCAAGTATGTATGATTCCTTATTATTTGACAAATAGGCACAACGCACGGAATTCACGTTCTTTTAGGCTGTTTACCTTACATAAACGCGGTTTATTTCGTGGTAAATGACAACTTATTCATTTGGGAATACGATAAAGGGTAAATTATTCTTTGTTTCTCTCATTTTTCGTCTTTATGCGTCTTTGCTCTCGATTTTGCACATATTGTTCTTGATTCTATTTATCAATTTTCATAAATATCGGCTTAAAGTTATCATATCATCCAACTAGAAATAACGATAATGCTATTGCACATATCGATGTACATCCATTACAAGATCAGATCATAAAAAGTGTAGGCCTTGTTAAACCAAGAGCTGGTACGTGTTTCTATTCAGTTTATAGGCTTCAACTTATTATTATTGATAACTTTGGAATATATATATATAATCTTAGGCCGTTTCATTGATAACGCCCATTATGTCTTAGTTATTGCTACGGACAAGGCGATTTACGTGTTTGGTTTCAGCTCAAATCCTGATGGAATAATTTTTCACGATATGTCGTCAGATAGATATCGAACAGATTATAGCAAGAAAGAAATTGGTTCAATAATCGGCACCGATGATGGTCGTATTTTCCTTATAGATGCTGGCGAACTCTGTGAGCTTGTTTACGAGGTAGTTCCGATTACATGGTTTCAAGACTTAGGCCATTAATTTGCATTATTATTAATATCATAGATATTTAATTTAGGATGAAGGTTGGTTTTCAAAACCATGTAGATTAGAAATTCATTCTCAGAGTTCTGTTAGTCAACATTTACGATGGATCTGGCAAACGTCATGTAAGGGCATATAATTTGTTATTATGTGAAGTTGTTATTATCTATGTTTGACTCATTAACATTCGCATTATGATGTTTAAGCGGATTACAAATCTATTGCAATTGATGATACGCGACACATGTTATACGTTATGTCTGCTCATCGTATTGAGGTATAACGATTCATAATACTTTTATGATGGATAATTATGTATAGTAGTTGTAATATTTTATTTACTCTTTCTAATTTTAATTTATTGTAGGCATATTATATACAAAAAGATGCTGCATTGAAATTAATAGGAACATACTCAATTAATGATGATAAATCGATGATGCTTAAAGGTCATTTGGTGTCGATACATTCAATATTGAATACCGATTCACCTTATTTCTGGCTTCTAGCAGTGACAAATACTGGTAAAGTTAATTATATTATTGGCGCATTGGTAAGCGACAAATATCATTATTTAATTTATTTAATACGTAGGGCACCGTGGATATTTTACCTGTTATATTGGAAATAGAGGGTATAATTGGTGGCTATACTCAGAAACACCTGCAATGCTAAAAACAAAAGAACCAAATGGTTTATATATACTTGAAGTACATGATCCACCACCTCAAAATCAGCAGCCCATGCCTCAACAAACTAGATTAGAATATCAAAAATTCCGTTATTTTCATGGTATCTTCTTTGCACAACGTAGAGAAGGTGGTATAGAAATGTTGTCTACCACATGTCCAAATTATGGTCTAATGTTTAGTAGATTTATTCAGGTATGTCATCTCTAATAAATTAATGCAAGGCGAGGTTTTATGTTCTAAAATTATAGTTTATTTATGTGCTAGAACCAAGAACCAATTTTTTCTGAGCATCATTATACTGCCCCTCTTCCAAGCATCTTCGATATTCAGGAAATTTTTGATCCATTATATGACCCAAAAAAATCAGATGAATATTCAAATGAATTGATAAATCAATTCAATTCTCCACCTCGAAAATTCATTCTGTATACTTTAAATGGTAACTTTTTCGTTCAAGATTTACTCAAAAAAAAAAAAAAAAGCAAGAATTTCCAATTTTGCATACAATTGTTGCAAGATATTTTAATTTACCGATTATAACTTGAATCAATCCTTAATAGGAATTATAATTTGGGCAAAACAGCGGCCTATTGATCATTTGGAAAACATGTTAAAAAAAAGTCATAATAGAGAGGCATTAAAATCCTTCATTGAAAAGTATGAACTTTCCATCATATGTGAATTAAGGAAACTTAGCGCTCATAACTAGTCATAACTGTTATCCTCTTTTTTTCCAGCTATGGACCTGAACAAACTTCAGCAATGTGTCTATTGATTGCGAGTAATGAAAGTCACGCGTTTATGCAAACTTTTGCAGGTTAGTTAATAATTATATTTGTAAAGAATTAAATTGTATCTAATTTAAAATTTTCAATATATATTTATATAAAAATATATCTAGCCTCATATAATACGATATACGAAGGATCTGCTTTTTGCCTGGCAAGGATACTTCGCCCTGTTTGGCGTCAAAGAATTCTCAAACCAAGGTCTGCATTTTACATATTTTGATATATAATTTGTGTTTATGTAGCAGTAAAGTTATTCATGAACCGATAGTTTTATATGCTATAGAAAAATGTTTTTTTTGCCATAACTTAAGTCCGTAATGCTCTTGCTAAAATATTAATAAATTTTAATGAATTTTCACACAGCCCTAACAATACCAATCCTGATAGACGCGACACGAATATTCCTGAGCCAATACTTAAAAGCATAGTCTCTAAATTAACGAAATTAAAAGAGTTTTGTGATAGGTAATTATTTAATAGCTCATCTATTGTCTGTTTTTTTTGCCAAGTTACTAAAGTTAGCCACATTTTAATAGACATCCGATGTTCAAGTCGCCTCCACAAATGCTTGGCGATGCTTCAACTGTATGATGAGTATTCAATAATTCTTCGCACAATTATGTCTATTACATCATAATAAATATTAATAATTTTAATAGGCACAAAGCGCATCATTAAGTTCTTTATACGATTTGCTTGTTACACTCTCTGATGCAATAGGTTTCATATTGCTAATGATTGAATACAATTTACCTGAAATCATAGCAAAGTTAGTGTTTTTTCATACGCATTTTGAATAGTAATTTACTCCTTAAAATATTACTCTTACGATTCAAGAAACATTACTTAATGTTGTATAGTATTTCTAAGAGTTCACAACAAGTCGTCTTTCAATCGACTTACGAAAAATTGGTTACGTATCAACACGATAATAAAATCAACACAGGTTTCACCCTGTCCTATAATGATAATAAATGAGTTCGTTATAACCAGAGTTAATTAATACGTATCAGATGACTAAATGTCAGATATTATAGGATTACATATGTACGCATATCTTTGGATTGAAATAATGGAAAAAGATTTAACAGTTTAAAAAAATTGACAAATCGGGAAAAATGTTATAAAATTTATTTTATATTTGGAAACCACTTTTATATTCAAATGAAAAAAATTTGATAACATTGATATTATTGTTATAACGATCTGCCAAGCAATCATTAATAATACAAAAATAACCTCTATTATATCAGCCGAAAAAACATTCGGAAACAGTTGTAAATAATGTGCCAGCTTAAGTTAACTTATTTGAGCTAACTTGAGCCAACTTATTTGAGCTGGCTTGAACCATCAGCTCGAGCCGGCCCTGCTTGGCTTTCTGAGCCAAGCCGAGCTTGCTTAAACCGATCCCATCCCTATTGAAAATGTTTCAAGTCTTCTTTGAATTTCTAAAAATTCATGTGAAAAGCTTTGCCCAAGCGAGTGGTGATCTATTAATGTCAAGTAATCTGATACCATCCCGTGGATGCTTCTCGGTTCAATATCATAACTATATTATAATTAATAAGAAATTTATATACGGCTCTAAGGAACGCTGAGAAGAGTAAAATAAAAACAAATCAAATTACCGTTCTTCAACAGATTTCATCCATTGATTTAAAATAACCACAAGCTCTTTTAGCAATAAGCAGATTCCTTCTTGACTACTAAATGGTGCGCTCTGAACATCATAATTATTATCGCATTTAATACACTATAAAATTAATGTAAACTAATAACAAATCATAGCAACTTACCCTAAATGAAATGAGATTATTAAACGTATTAAAAATATCACAAAACGCGACATTCGCTTGCTTCAAAATTCTCGCAATACAACCAGGATCATCAATACGCCTCTTAATTAAATAATCCGCTATTTCACCTACGATTGTGTCTGTTCGAGAAGTAGTATTATGAGTGTAAAATCTAGGTGCAATATAACAAAGCAACAAGTGCCAATATTTACCCATCGGAAACACTCGCAGATCATGCGGATAATATTTTCGTCCAGATTCTATTACTACTTCAGCTATCGGTTGTAACGATCCAGTTTCACTGGCTTTTTTCCTGGCTTCATAGGAAAAGAATGTATAATTAAATAATTGCTTGTATATTAAAGTGCCTTTATACTTAATATATACCTTTTTGCATTATTTTTTTCCAAATTTGATTTATATCTTCGCGACTAGGTATTACTTCTACAGCATGTACTAAAGAAAGTTCTATTTCAACTAAGCCAAATGGAATTACAAAGTCTTTCAAAAGCTAATAATGTTGATATAAAATTAACGAAAATCAAACTTAATAACATTAGGTAATATAATAATTTTTCATACAGTTTGTGCATCAAAGAGCTGTTGATCGAGACGTGCAAGTAGTGCTGCTTTATCCGGCTTTCCTCTTAACGCAGCCAGGTTGTTATATTCGATATCTGGAATACTGTATATCTCCAGATAAATATCAAATTGAATTTGAGCAAGCTAGATTTATAACAAACGCAGAGTTTAATATTTATGCACAAAAAAAAAAAAAAAAAAAAAAGTGAAATACAGACTTCCAGATCATTGCGGTATTTATGCAAGGCTTCAATTATATCCCTAGTTTCGCTCAATTCTTTAGCGCTTTCGGCCTGACCCACGGCATGACTTAAATAATGCAACCGATCTTGTAGGTTAATACCACTTCTATTAATAAAAGCATGGTTAATATTATCATTTAATTACCATTCCTTCTGCTTAGGCCTCTGCACGAGCTTGGCCTACCCATGGAAATCCGTGAGTAGGCACACAAGAG